CTCTCAGAGATAGCCCTCATGTATGTGGAAGGAAATTCCAGATCCTGCTGCATTGCCTATAATACGCTCAATATGCTACAAATTTAAAACCAGTGAAGGAAAAAATCGAGTAAATAACAAAAAACTAATATAAAACAGAGTTTCTTTGGAGGCAAGGTAAGATGGAAGAGGAGGCAACAAAGGTTTGAAGTTGAGCTCTCTGTGTTTTATTTTGGTCTCCAATAAGATGGACATGGTACATTTTGCTCAATTTTCCACCCCTAATCACATTGAGAACCTTGAATGGGTTTTAGAGCTGGAACTCATTTAATTGGGTATTGTTCCTCTCTAACCTGACTTGGACACAGCACCTGCCTATCCCAGCTCTATCCCATACGTAGGCACTAAATAGGGTCATATCCAGCCCACCCACCCCCACAAGTAGAGGGTGAGCAGTAGAGCCACCAGAGATGGTGCAAGCTGGGAATGGGGGGCATCTTATCCAGAGACCCTTTGGGGACCCCAAAATTTTTCTTTGGGGAAAAAAGGAAGGTTAGAAGAAACTGACAGGGAGACAAGAGGATAACAACCTAAATACATAGAATCAAATGGTATATAGGAAAGGTGATGCTGAAATACAGGGGTAAGGAGTTCAGCCCAGAGAAGCTCCAGCTGTGATTGTAGAGCCAAAATAGACTGTCTCTCTGTGTGTGCTGGGGTTGGGAGGGAGGCTTTGGGCCATATTATTAATCCAGATAGAAGAATCCACGGCAGTAGGATTTCTGAAACTGGCAATTGGTCCCTTTGGCAAGTTTCTATAGATTTCCCTTCCTGCTGAATATCCATGATCTGAACACATCAGATTTCCCTTGCTCAAAGCCCTCCAGCTTTGGGAAGCCTCTTCTCTGCCCCTGGTTCTCAAGCAATGGGATGAGGCCTCTGGCATACCTCTGGCATGTTCCTCCCCAAGCCCTAATCTTTCTCTGCCATCACCACATCACAGTCTGCCCTGCCTGGCCAGCTTTATTACTTAGCTATCATCAATCTTACCCCTAACAGGATATTTGTTTATGTGCTGGTGGGAAAAGCTAATGGCTTCATGAACCAGTCATAAAAGGAGTAGACAGGAGGCGAAAAAGGGAGGCCCTGTAACACCACTCAGTGCCACATGGTAGGGGCTTCAGAGAAGGGACTTGAAAGACTCTGCTCAATAATTGGAGGTGTGGGGAAGGGGAGAGGGGGAACCTGGTACTCCAACTATTCTTTCTTGGCTGCCGCTGAGAGCCTTGGAAGACATGGTGTGGGTACCTAAGGCCTGTTGTGTAAGGTCGTTTTTTGGCCTTCCAGGGCTATCTGGCCAGGTGGCCTGAACCAGCAGGGTTTTATACCACTTTGAACGAAACAAATGGCCCTCCACCATAAAGACAGCAACTCTCAGCACCCTTAGTAACCAGGGTGGGAGAAAAAAAAAAGTGCCATGTTCTTCACCTTTCAAAGTTAAGGGGAGCCCAAAAGGTACTCTTGTGGCTGAAAGCAGCCCAGAGCTTACAGAGGACCAGCACAGTTGAGCCTTATTCCTTTGCAAGCATCTATTATCAATGACACAAACTGTGTGGAATGATAAATCGCAAAATGCATGGTTGTTTGCATGCAGCCTGTTGAAAAAAAGGGCCTGCTAACGACACTGCCCCAGGAAACAGCACGTGTTCTTACCACATATGTAACATGCCAAATGCAAGATTTTACATGGCACATACCACGCTGGCCTTTGCCCGTGAATTGCTAGGAAAATAAATGCGCCCTGTTTCTCCTTTGGGGACAAAATACTATGCTAACGATCTCTACAGAGACGATTTACAAAATGAGTGGACTCATCACCTGGGTCCTGCATGTCACCGGTAGGTAAATTTCCAAACGTTCGGCTATCAGTGAACTTATCAAGCAGCTTTTCTTACAAGACTTCACAGAAAAACTGCAAATCAGCCATACAAGCCACTAAGGAATGAGTCAACTCCAGGTAAAAATGAATGGCAGAAATAGTTTCTGTCTCTTCGATTAGCTATGAGGGGTCGAAGGCAAATGTACAGACGATAGAAAACACCACACACGAGTGTTTTGCGTTTTAAAATCACGAGTGGCTCTCTCCTTCAACTCCTACATGACTCCGAACTACCGCAGAGGCAACTCTTGCAGAAATCCCACACATACACATCTTCCGTTCTTAACTTTCGAACCTGCAAACAGAAAAGGAGGCTCTCCTCCCGACACTATGGAAACACTCCGAGGAGCTCCGGTAAAGGGACTCCTCGGGAGCCCCGAGCTCACTCTAGAAACCTGCTCCTGCAGCTGCCCGGCCCAGAAAAGAAAGAGCAAGGGTACCCACAGAACTCCACTCCCAGGAGCAGGATGTTCTTTCCCTAGCGGCACCGGCGCTGGCAGGGCCGCAAGGGTGACAGAGTTAGGGGACAGCCAGGTCTCCCCAGGTCGCCTGGGCCAGGACCCCGGGCTGTCTGCGGCGGCCTAGGCCTCCTCAGGGCCGCAAGGCCTCACCGGAGTGGATGCGGGGGTCTCGGGCACTTAGAGCGAAGGTGCCCTACCCCGTGCACCCTCCGGCCTGTGGCGTCTGCAGCCTAAATTAATCCGCGTCCCTGTCACACACAAGTGCCAGGTCGCGGCTGGCGGGCGAGCCCGCCGGCAGCAGGTCGGTGCGGCCCAGGCCATGGCTGGCAAAGCGGAGCCGGGCTCCGTGCGCCTGCCGAGCCAGCGGGGCGCGCTGTCACCCGCGGGCAGTGGAGTGCCCGTGACCTTTCCACCCGAGCCCGGGCTCCTAGAACACACGGGCGCCTGTAAAACAAAGGCGGCGAGCGAGGAGGAGGAGACAGGAGCGGCACAGCCTCGGGGCGAGGAAGGGAGCGGGCGCCGCCAGGGCTGGGCGCCCGGGGTCCCCGAGGCGATGCTGCCTCCCGCGCGACCCGGGTGTTCCCCCCCCCCCCCGGCCCCCCATCGCGATTAACCCATCCAGCTCACGCCGAGGTGTGGCGGGGCCGGGGGCGGGGAGGGGGTTCTCCTTTGGAGTGCCATTCGCCCCGCGGATAACTTACTCCGGGAAGAGGCCGCGGGGCCGCGAGCGGGCACCGGAGGGCGGCGGCGGCGGCGGCGGCGGGGCGGGGGCGCGCGGGGGAGGAGGAAGCCGCGGCGAACGCAAACAGAAGCCGGCCGCCGCAGCGGGTAATTACAGCTCATTAGCCCGGGAGCCTTCCCGGCCCCCCGAGCGGCGTCCTGGGGGCCGGCGTCGGGGCTGGACGCCGCCGCCCGGAGGGGGCCCTCCGGACGATCCGGAGGCCCCACCGCGGCTCTCCACCCGGCGGCCACCTCCCGTCCGAACAGTCGGAACGGACGTCCTGAGGACCGTCCGGCCTCCTCCTCTGCCTTGGGGTCGGTCAACCCGTCGGGGTGGCCGGGAGACATCGGTCACCTGCTCGGGCCTCCCGCAGGCCTAGACGACCGCAGCTCAAGCCACCGCTCCGGGCGCACAAACCCCAGCTCCACGCCAGACTCCCCAAAGTAGAGTTGGGTTCCAGCTCCTAGAGATTGGCAATGGACTCTAACCTTCTCCCCTTCCCACCCCATCCCCTCAAAGAGGTAACCTGAGGAGGGAGTTGGGGAGAAGGGGCCACAGTCGAGGCACTCGGGGCCAGGACAGCCCAGAAAACACTTAAGAGCCGCCGTGAGGCCAGCCCCAGCCGGCCTGCCCGGAGGAGACGCCCGGGCAGCGCCACAGCTTCCCTGGCTATTAGGTTACCGCTCTGAGCGGCAGGAACCGAGCGAATCAGAGGCCACGTAAGGCAGTTTTTTTGACTGAAATTAGAGTGTATTTATTTGCAGCAATCCTTTAACAATGATCAAATTTTGACAACAAGCAACAGCAATTATTGCTTAAGTGTTGCCTCTAGATAGGAGCGGCAGATAGGAACCTGCTTTATCTCGAAAACAAACTCAAGGCCTGAATGTCTGTAATCAAACCGCCATCTCCCCAAGTCTGATTGACAGGGCAGATCACCCTAAGATAATGAATTTATTACATTTCCTGGGTTATTTACAAAAGGGGGGGGAGGGCCAATCCGGATTGCCCCCTAGGTTTAACTGTAAATTAACAAGAAAAATTGGTTTGAAAAGAAACCACCCTAGACTAATGTTCCTTCTTCTGCCCTCTTACTCTTCCTTCTGGTCACTGCTGTAAATCTTCTTCAGAATAATTGTTCTACAAACATATTTTCTAAAAGTTTCCCCAAGATTAAATATCCATTTCCAACCCACAGTATATTTATATTTTTTTAAAAGTAATCCTTCTCTGTGCTGTATGAAGAATTTTAACTGTGAGTGAGTTATATACATAGATTTTAAAACTAGCTTCTTTCTCCTCTTACAAAGGAATGAAATTAATAGAAAACAATCTATTCCGCATCTGGCTTACAGATATGTATAATGCTCATTGCAATCCACGTGGGACGTGAAAGCCAAAACCCATCTGTGAGTATCTAGAGGCATATTTGCATCTCTGCGAACAGGTACCGCTGTGGTAACACCGCTGCTGATTCATGGACTTAGAAATTGCCAAATCATGTTCTGCAGTTACTGAAGAAAAGTATTTGTTCACATGCCAACTGAGATCTGTTTAGGAAATTGTCTTTTTAATAGCTACAAAGCAAGTTGACTAGATAGTAAGTTTTGCAGAAAATGCTCTAGGAAAAAAAATAGTCTACTAAACAATAAAAAAAAATGCTTATAGCGAAATTTGGCATGAACTAGAGGAGGTTTTCTCCACATTTCAGAGAGAGATCTGGCAGAGATCTCCTATAATTTCCACTTTGAAATATTTTCTTTATATTAAAGCTGTATTAAAGTATCCAGACATATAGGTCTTATTCAAACTGAATGGCAATTTATTAATAAACAAACAATGGATATGATCAACAAAAAAAGGATGATAGAATGAGATTAATACAGTTTCCCTTTTTATAATGAGAGAAAAGGCACATTTTAAAGTTTCAGGCAATTTAACTTTAAAAGCTTTTGGAACACTTTCTGGTGTTTGGTCCGTGTAACATCCAACTACAAATTAAAAAATAAATTACTATGTTGCAATTTACATTTAAAAACAAGTCCATGAATAAAAAGAAAGCGATTTTCATAAACAGGGGCTTCCCCCCTTCTTTCGACATAGGATAAAATATTATCTTACAGGTGAGAGGCAAGGCAGAGGCAGAGGGGCAAGGAAAGCGGATCTCTGAACGCAAGAAGAAACTTACGTGGTATCTGGAGTAAACTGTCCTTTAATAAACCATGATTTTGCTGTCTGTACAAAACAGTCTACGGTTTTGCTTACTTAGATAAGGCACAGCGGAGGAGGCTCTGCATTAATCTTTTAGGAAAATAGGTTTTCTCTGAGCTGGTGCTGGTGAGTTGAACTTCGGGAGAGATTCTGTTCGCTGGTGTGCTGAATCTCCTCAAGTTTTAAAATTTGTATGTTTTTGGTTTCGATTTTGCATTGCTGGGTTCTTTTAACTGTTCCTGCCCTGGGCTTCTATTCCATTCGGCTCCGGGACGTGTGTGTGGAGGACGGGGTCAGAATTTGCTACAGTCATAGACGAAAGCCCCCGACGTGCGGTACAGAGACTGGCTGGCGGGAAAAGCCATCTGACAGCTACTGTTCCCGTTCACCGGAGAGTTGTTCAAGCCGAGCCGCTGAGACTCGAACATCTCCCGCACCGAGTGGAAGTTCTGCTGCTGGCCGGGGTAGCCCGCGGCCGCCGCGGCCGCCGCCGCGCTCGCCAAGTGGCCCAGGTCTCCACCTGCCTGGTTCAGGTACCACGAGGTGAGGCGGCCCTGGTGGGACGCGGGGTGGTGGCCGGCGTCCTGGCCGCCCCCGCCGCCGCCGCCGCCGTGAGCCAGGGACGAGGAGCCGCTGCTGGTGGCCGGGGGCAGAGAGTAGTCGGGCAGGGGGTCATCCACCGCGGCGCCGCCCGCGCCCCCCGCCGGGCCCTGCAGGTGGCCCGCGCGCTCGCCCGCCGCGTACAGGCTCATGGCCTGCAGGTTGCAGTGGTAGGTGCCGCCGCCCCCCGCGCCCCCCGCGCCGCCGCCTCCTCCGCCGCCTCCGCCGCCACCTCCGCCGCCGCCGCCGCCGCCTCCCGAGCTGCCCGCGCTGGAGCTCTGGCTGCAGGGGGAGCTGTAGAGGGAGCTCTGCCCCGGCGAGTAGGCCCCCAGCGCCAGCGGCGGAGCCATGCCCGCGCGCGACGACGCGGCCGCCGCCGCCGCCGCCGAGGCCAGCAGGCCCGAGCCGAGGTCCGCGGCCGAGCCCTGCGGCGACCCCCGCAGCGACGTCATGATGTTGTCCACGCTGAAGCCCTGGCCGTGGTGCGGCGGCGGCGGCGGCGGGGGCGG